TTTTCTTTTCTCCTTATATTCCAAATATTCTATAATATTATTTTATTTATTTTATAATTTTACAATGTGTAAATAAAAATATGTAGATGTAACATATCTCTTCAGTTAAGAGATTTTACATTGGCTTCTTGATCACAGTTTAAAAAACCCATAATGTAATTTGGTTTAACTGTTAAATTAGGGGGTCAAATGCCTATAATATGTTTTCATTTAACTTTAAAGTAAATGCAATTAGAAAAAAATGTTGAAACCAGGATGTCGGTAGCCAATCTTAATTTGCCTATTCTAACAATAAAGGTAACATTAATAAAAGTATTTAAACTAGTATTTTAGTTAATATTGAAAGATCAGAATAACAGTAATACCAAGGACAAGTAATACAATTGCTGTCATTTACTGAGTTCTTACTATGGGGGAGGTAATCATTTAATCACTAAAGCAACTCCAGAAGTGGATAATAGTATCATCATTTTACAAATAAGGAAATTGAGTCTTGCAAAGATTTATAAAGGTCACAGAGATCACAATTGAAAGAACTGTGATTCATACCCAGGTCTTATAACATCAATGCCCATGTGCTCAACCACTAAACTATATGGGTGTCTGTTTTATTATACTTTCTTTGTGTAGTTTGAATATGCCATTTTAATTTAAGTGATTAGTGAATGTGTTGCTTTAGTGGAGAGAGAATTATTTACAAATATACATAAAACATTTCTTCTTTGAATTCTTTATTAGATCAGTCCAATGTGGAAAACCTCAGTTACTTTTTTTTTTTAAAGATTTTGTTTATTTATTTGACAGAGAGAGCGAGAGAGCACAAGCAGGGGGAACAGTAGAGGGAGAGAGAGAAGCAGGCTCCCTGCCAAGCAGGGAGCCCGACGCGGGGCTTGATCCCAGGACCCTGAGATCACAACCCGATTCCAAGGCAGACGCCCAACCATCTGAGCCACCCAGGAGGCCCATCAGTTGCTTTTTTTTTTTAATTACTTTCTATATTTTTTTTACATTTTTAAAATTTTATTATGTTACATTAATTACCATACATTACATCATTAGTTTTTGATGTAGTGTTTCATGATTCCTTGTTTGCGTATAACACCCAGTACTTCATTCAGTATGTTTTTTTTGGATAGTAAAGTCATTCATTATTGAGAGCTCCCTAACTTAGGTTAAATGTTGGATTTCACTGAAGAGCTTGGAGGAGGATAAAGACAACCCATGATTGTCATCCTCATCAAGTTTATCTAGCTTACTAAGGAATATCTTCTTCCTCACCACTCCTTGTACATTCCTCTGAAAATGGTAATATTGATAAGTGGGGCCATTGTCTCTATTAGAAGCTACAAAATTGTACCATAAAGTTAAAAATAAATAAAATTGTTTTCTTTAGCATACCTACTGACTTTACATATTTTTCGAATGTTTTCAAACTACAATACTAGCTCATTGAGGACATTTTTAAAATTCATTGTCTTCAAACAATTTATAATTTATCCATGGAATAGAAAATAGATATTGTACAAAGCAATTGGTATAAGCAGTTTGGTATAAAGTAATTGGTAAAACTTTGCTAAATCTATGAGTAGAATTCTGTAGAGAAAGTGAGGAAGAAGACATTAATTTTGAATATAAGCACACAGTAACTATTCAATAAATTCTTGTTGAAGTGAATTGAAATAAAAATATACATGGTATTAAATAAGACCTACTGTATAAACAAGCACTTTAACTCTACATTTTTTTTAAAAGAAAGTTTTGATATAAAATGTCAACACATCTTTATTACCAGGCTGAAAAAACTATCTTACTTTGTATTCTGGTTTTTCATATACCTTATTTTTAGCAGTCCAATTTTACAGTTGGAACCTGCACAGTGTGGTCAATTCTTAAATCCTTAAAGAAGTGTGCTATATAAGAAACCAGATTTCCTTACCACATTAAAAAAAAGCCTTTGCCAGAGAAACAGCAATAAAGAACTATATTTTTGGTCAAAGAAGTAGTATAATGTAATACCATTTAGTGCACATACATACGCAGAATAGTAGACTAAGGGAAGCTGGACTAGTTCAAACTGTCCTTAAAACTAGGAAATCAGCATTTTAAAGCTTTTTTATGTATTAATAGCCACCATGTTAAAGTAAATTATTAGATCAAAGGTTTTAACATTCTTGTCATTTTACATGTATTAATCTTTTTAAAAAAGTCATTGGGGAGGGTTTGTGCTGTGGTGAGCGCTGTGAATTGTGTAAGACTGTTGAATCAGAGACCTGTACCTCTGAAACAAATAATACATTATATGTTAAAAAAAAAAAGAAGAAGAAGATAGCAGGAAGGGAAGAATGAAGGAGGGGAAATCGGAGGGGGAGACGAACCATGAGAGACTATGGACTCAATGAAACAAACTGAGGGTTCTAGAGGGGAGGGGGGGTGGGGGATGGGTTAGCCCAGTGATGGGTATTAAAGAGGGCAGGTACCGCATGGAGCACTGGCTGTTTATACGCAAACAATGAATCATGGCACACTACATCAAAAACTAATGATGTAATGTATGGTGATTAACATAACATAATAAAAAAATAATAAAATAAATAAAATAAAATAAAAAATAAAAAAGTCATAAATGATACCTTCTTTCCAGTGAGTATAGGAACCATAAGAATATTAGAGTAAGATAGTAATTAAATGTATATTGAAATCTATTGGACATCTGTACCATTATCATAAATACTATCAGGACATGAGCTAATGTATTACAACAAAAGATAACTTAGAGAAAAACAACAATCTCCCATAGATTTTTTTAATCCTATGGATAAAATTCAAACCTTGGAGTCAAACATTCAGTACCCTCTAAACCCTGTCCCCTACTGATATTCTCAAATCTTAACTCCCAATTCTCTTGTACAAAAAGTATTTTCTCTAGAACTCGTCTTCTCTCACTCCCCTAAGGTAAATTCTCACCTTTACATTATTACCCTGCCTTCTTTCTCTTTTTCTACTTTCATGAATTCTACCTCTGTTTAAGGGAAATTTGTGGAAACAACCTCTATGAAGCCATAAAAAACAATCCAACTTCAAAATACAAACTGGAACAAGATATTTGCAACAAAAATAATCAATAGAAGAGTATCCTAACAGTGTGTAAATAATTAATACAAAGTAATGTAAAAATATTAATTGTGTTTAGTTTGGATTCCCCAGAAGTGGATGTTTAGAAAAGACTTTAAGCAGTAGATTTAGGATATGGTCTCAAGAAATACTTGTCGAGGGTATGTTATCAGACTATTTACTGGTATGGACAACTGGACCTTAATCTCTCTGGGGAACTCTGAGAAAGTATAAAACATGTGTCACGGTGGTGTCCAACGTAAGGGTGAAGGAGCTGAGGTATTTATAGTCTTGCTAGTCATTAGTTGAGGGCTGTTCCTGAAGGACATTAATTTCTTATGATGAGGGATATAATTTAAGTAATCTTTATACACCAAGACATATGCTAAAAAAATATTTGCAGAAAAAATGTTTATAATAAAATAGAAACAACTGTAATGTTCATTAAAAGGAGAATAATAAATTGTGGTATATTCATACAGTGGAATACTATGGTAATCAGTCATTGACATCAAAATGGGTGAATTTCACAACTCAATACTAACTTTTAAAAATTTCAGGAAAATATTCATTCATCATTCAGGAATTTGAGAGGCAAATAGGATGAGGTAGTCGGGGAGGGGCACTCAGAGGTTCTTTCAAGGTACCGCTTCTATTTATTAAATTATGTTGTGAGATACACATGTATTCTTTTAGATATATAACTTTTCATAACTAAAGATTGGGCATAGGAAGAGAAACTCAGAGTATCCCAGGAGAAGGAGGAGGGGAAACAGGAAAAGGGTGTACTAGAAGCCGAGACTGAGAGAACAATCAATGACAACTGTTGCTAGGAAGGGCTGGATACAAAATGAAATGCAGTTAATGGAATTGGGACTTAAGAGGTCATTGGAGGCTTTGGCGAGTACAGTTTCAGTAATAGAGTTGGGGTAGATGCCAGAAAACAATGGCTTGAGGAGTAATAAAAAGCAGTGAGTATAGGCAGGTCTTTAAATAATTTTGTCAGTAAATGCAAAAAGGGAGATAGGCTGTAATTTGAGGTGAAGACAAATTTGAACATTATTTAGAAGTATTTTATAAAAGAACATAGTCTGTCTAGACCAATGATAAAGGCATTTAAAAATGTTTAAATAGAAATTTAATTATAGGAAAAATTTAAATATTCTAAGAAAAAGTCTCCAGGAAAATCCTTGAGTTAAATCTTTTTTGGTGAAAAATATTTAAATATTTCAAATAACTATTTCATCCAACTGGTAAATTTTCCCAAAGGATAGTTCTTCAACTCTTTTAATGCCTCTTAAAGCATTTAGGATTCTGTATATTCATAATTTCAATGTTCTTGGTCATTTTTGTTGAAAATTAATTGAACAAATTTGAATTACAGTGTACATACATTATCAGTTGGGGGGACAGAATACTTCTCCCTTCCTCTTGGACAGTTTTAGTCATCATTGCAATAAAGTATAAACACATGTTAATGATTTCATGAAAGAGTAAGTAGATATCCTTGCCTGACTATGAATGTGAATATTCTGTTGAGAAAGAATATTAAATTTAAAATTACAAAACATGGCATACCACCTGAAATTTCTATTAAAAATATCTCACTGGTGTACATAAGGTTAGGGCAACAGTAAGAGATAATATCACTGTGACATAAATCTCCGCATAGGAGAGCAGTGTGTAGGTGGGTGAATGCCATTTATTTTAATAACAGGCAAAATTTTCAAGCTGTAACAACATGCTCAATAAATTCTTCCATTACTATGATACCAAAGGAGAGTTGAAAAATGTATTACACTTCTATTTTCTCTCCTTAGAGATATATATTTTTGTTCTGTTTCTATGGCAACATCGAGGCAGTGACTAAACCTTTAACTCCTTTCTAGACTCCCTGATGGCTTCACGCAGCTTCTAAATCTGACCCAGCTCTACCTGAATGACGCCTTTCTTGAATTTCTTCCAGCTAATTTTGGAAGGTAAGAATACAAAATTTAAATGATGAAATTTTATTTCACTTTAGGTAAGTACTTTACCAGCTCCAGTAGATGAGGCTTCAAATGTGACAATTATGATTGAAGATAGGAGTCATTATTATTCATTAGGTGAGACAATGTTAATTAATGAAACATTTTCCAAAATGAAGTAAAATTAGGTTTTTACATGTCACTAATAATCAAATAAATTCCAGGTGAATTAAAGAGTTAAATAAACAAAAAATAATATCAGATGTAATCTGGAAAAAATGCACATGAATATTTATGGCCCTAGGGAAATACCTCTACAGTTTAGAAACAGGAAAATATAATAAATGGATAGATATATTTGACTACATAAATACATTTAAAATAAAATAATATCAGAAGGTATTTTAAAATTAAGGTAAAACAATGAGCTGGGAAAGCATTTCCACTATATATGGAAAGCAAATTATATCCTTAACATATAAAAATTCTTATAAACGAGTAAGACAAAGATCTCATTAGAAAAGAAATAGGTAAATGACACAAGTAATTCTTAATTAATTGTACAAATTGCTAGTGAACACACATGAAGTGTTTATCCTCACAAACAATAAAAAAATACAAATTAAAATGATAATAAAGAGCTTTGTGTTCTATCATATTATAAAAACTGTTTATACAGTATAAGGAAAAAAATCTCATACACAGCTGATGGAAGTGCAGAATTTTATCACCTTCATGCACAACAGTGTGTTTTAAAAGATTTGAAAATATTTACAACTACAGCTTTTGTAATTTATTTCTAGAGTAAGATAAAAGACTGGTTCCTTGGAAGTGAAATTATGGATAATTTTTATTTTCATCTTCATATTTTCCAGTATTTTCCAGGTGTTCGGCAATGAGCTATTTTTTATGTATAAAAGATATATCTTAAAAGTAAAGACATTTTACAAATATCATCAACTGTATATTTCTAAGTGATCACTTTTGAAATTGTTCAAATAATAAATTGGGTATAACTCAACACACATCTGTTGGTGTTAAGAAGAGCTCAATAGAATAATTAAGTACTTTAACTTGTAACAGCCTCATTTTATATACAGAGAGGATATCAGCATTTCCCAAGTTCCATTACTTTTGCAGATCATGATATCATGCTACCTATGAACACCATATAGTTGGATAGTTTTTAAAATTCACAGATCTTCAAAAGAGCATTTGCCTAGTTTCTAAATGAGTTATCACTTCACCATTTGTTCATATAAACTATCATTGCCATCTGGTACTAACTGCAACAATACAAAAACTTTTGATTAATCAAATTGGAGAATATTTATCATCCTAGACCATACTCTTCTCTTAAATTTTTCTCAGTTCTCTTTTAGTGGTCCTAATGTCAAGGAAGAGATTTGGGCAAACAGAAAACATAATACCAAAACCACTTGGAATTAGAATTTAATTTTGTGTAAATTGTCTGCCAAGATATGCTCTACTTTATTATTATAGTCTAAAAAGATTTTTAACCTTCAGCTGGATAATGTAACAAAAGAATTACTGAATTTCTTCCCAAAACATGAGATTTGGTGCCCTTAAAAGCCAGAGTTAAGTCACAAAATAGCTTCATACTAGTACAGATGTTAAGAAGATGTGAGATATACAGATGTTTAAGAAACCTCTTTTACTAACAGTAATACCCATGCTCTGAATAACTGAATCACTTTATTTCATATAGAGATTAAGAGTTTTAAAATTAAAATTAGAAACTTGGTACCAGTCACAACACAAAGAAAAGGGGAAGAGACCTAGATGAGTATCTAAAAGGCAAGTAAATATGGGAGAAATAGTTCAAATACTGAAATATCCCCCAAACACCAAGAATTCAGAGAATCCAATTAATATTAGTCCTTTTTTTAAAAAGATTTTATTTATTTATTTGAAAGAGAGAGATAGCAAGAAAGTGCACAAGAGGGGGAGAGGGAGAAGCAGGTTCCCTGTGAGCAGGGAGCCTGATGTGGGGCTTGATTTCAGGACCCTGGGATCATGACCTGAGCCGAAGGCAGATGCATAACAGACTGAGCCACCCAGGCGTCCCTAATATTTGTTCTAAAGTAGCCTCAACTGAGTACACTTTAAAGCTCAGTTATAGACATTTAACAATAGTGTGTCTCACACTGTAGAGCTTAACAGGTAGCTAAGGGTGAGATGTAGGAAACTTAGTTTGGGAAACTACAGTTAGAAGAGGTTAATTAATGTACCCAATGCCACACCGATAGACTATGACAGAGTCTGGATTGCATCCAGATTCGTCTGACCACAAAGCTCAAGCTTTTAAGCACTATGCTATACTATTTGCTTTACAAGTTCATTTAGAGTCTCTTGAGGGACAGTATTGCCATATTTGAGTGAACACAGCATCTGGTATTAAGTAGATATTAAATAATCTGTTACTTACAATTAAACAACAGTGAATATATTTTTATAAAACATGAAATTTAGATTACTTGGACCCAATGATATCTTTGAATGATGTTTATTTTTAGTAAACCGGTATTTGTCATTGTCCAATGTTGATGCAACCCTAATTTTAATCAATTTGTATAATTCTTCAAAATCTGTAACCATGATATGTAATATTCAGACATAGTTGTTTGGATAATGCAGTGATAATTGACTTTCTCATAGGAATATCATTTTATAGAGAAATATTAAAAAGCAATTTTTTTATTCACTTCTACAGACTTGTCAAATTGCGGATCTTGGAGTTAAGAGAAAATCATTTGAAAACTCTACCAAAGTAAGTGGCTGTGTATTTTGTAAATTTTGAATTTTATTTTTAGTAGTAGAAAAAAGGACTATTTTTATTTTGGCTATGCTTAGCCATTTTGATTGAGTTAATCTTTCTATAATTTTTTCCTAGAGCCTGAAAAGTGCAGTATACTATGAGATTCATATTAAGTAAAAATGTATTGTGTTTTATAAAACTGTGTAATTACAAGTTAAAGTGGGAAGAGTCCATTTAAGTTTCTTCTCATAGGTGAACACGCACACCAGGAAGTTACCACATTGAAACTTATGAAACTGACATTTTTATAGCTCTAAATAATCAACAGTTTCAAAAGGTTCAATCTAATCATTTGGTAGTTCTTCAAGTTAATTTATGGATTGTGATAGCTTTCAGTTTTTAAATCAGGAAGACACAAAAATATTTCATGAAAGTGATTAAAATTTTTCTAAAGATCCAAAATGGTTTGTCGGAAATTTTATATATTCAAACTGTTCTTTTTTACTAGTCTATTTAAAATTTGGTTTATATAAAAGCACAGGATATTTTTATGGGAAAAGTAATCCTCCAAATTGTAGGCAATGTTTAGTTTAATAAAATACTTTGTTTCCTCCTGCCTTGCCTTATTCATGTCCAATAATAGAATTTCATCTTGTACAGAAAAAAATATTTTTGGAAGTCAAAAATTATTTAAAATGGGAAATTTTTTACCCAAATAAATCAATATGACTTGTATATGTTACAGTTAAATTACTGAAAGTACTATATTGCTATTATACCCTCCTACAGTATTGCAGAAAAATAATGAATACAGTGATTAATTTTCCAACATATAAGCAGGACTTTGAGACCTTTCAACTGCAGGACCAAAACTTAATTTTATTTTTTACTTTTTAAATACTTTCCCTAAGCTAACTAGGCTGAATTTCATTGATTTTGTTAACCAATATACCAATATAATACCTTCAAATACATTTCATATATGATATTATGTATGAAAATTCTGTCAACACAATGTAACAATTTCAATAATGATATGATTTCATTTTTAAAATATACATAGAGATTAAACATCTATTCATTCCCCCATAAGTGGAAAACAAGGAGAGAACATGAAAAGGAGGAAATATCTCCAAAGCTGGACATCCTGCAATTTTGAGTAGCTTTTCTCTAAGCCAAAGCATTATACATAGGTCTAATGGAAGGCACCTCTCCCAGGTTGGGGGCATAAACAAAGATGGGGATATGGTTGAGAGTGTTACTTGTTCGTCAGTAATCTTCTGCAAATGCAGCTAGTTGCCAACATTGCCATCCCTAATGCTTTAAATGTCTACATTTAAAATAGAATGGAAAAATGGCTGAGTAGAAACCAAACCACAGCAAAAGAGCAGTTGTCCCCTTCATCTAAATGTATACGTTTAGGTCAAGAAGAAAATATTGAGTATGTGGAGGAAAATCCTTTCCCCTCTGCTTTCAAATAATAGTTTTGATGTAACTATAAAATAAATCTGACACAAATTATCAGGTTTTTAAGTATATATATATATGTATATATATATTTCTAAATAGAAATTTTAAATACAAATTAAAATCTGACCATATATTGATAATATGGACTTAATATGAGGTAGCTGTGTTAACAGTTCAGAGTAATGATGCTCATAGTTGTTGCAGGGGTATTCTGCAGGCTTTTAAACTATGGCCCACTATCAAACAGAATAAAATTATTAGAATAATATGGATTTAACTATGTCTGGCATTAAAAAACATTGTAAAGATGTGTAGAAATGACACTGGGTCTCTTTGGCAGACCGTTATATATGTATAAGTTGTATAGCTATTTTAGTTTTGCATTTTAAAAAATCATTTTCAAAGTTATATCTAATCTAGTATGTTATTTTTTAACTTATAGACAAAAATCTAAAGAATTTTTATTCTTTATATAACAAACACACACACATACATAAAATACAGAGAACTGTATTTAACTTTGGTTTCTATAAAATGAGAATTGCATAAAGTTTTGTCTTAAATCAAAATAAAATTTTTCACTATGTATTAAATATAGTACCTTCTATTCACCAATTTAGACCTGTAACTAAGAGATATGGGAGACTTTCTACTATCCTTTATTTTTTACTTCCAATGAAAATAAAGGAAAAATGTCATTTTAGTGAAAACAATTTTAGTTTTATAATGATTACTCCAACAAGAGATAGCTCATGCTTTCCTCAGAGATACAAACAAGATGCTAAGTCTTTATTGGTTCCTCAGTGATTTTCTCTTCTTTTCATTTTGTCTTAAAAGTCAATCTGTGCAAAATGTGAAAATATGTAAGAATTACAATATAACCTACATTAAAATGTGTATCCTTTCAGTAACCTAATATGTTGATATATGAGACATTTTGATATATGCAGATTGTGGGACAAATTCTTTTTGTTACTACATAGAAGTTTCTATTATAAACTTTCTTAAACTGTTCCTTTATGATCATTCTTCTAGGTATATGAATGAGTGAGAAAATTAAATTCCTCAGACACACATTTGCTTAAAAATCCCTGAAACAGTAGGTCTTGATTATGTGTAATAATTGAGGATATTGAACATCTGAAAAAAATGGATAAACAAAAAGAAAACTTTTAGATTTCACGGTACAATTTTCCTCATAGCAGAATTATCTCCGAAATTACATTTTTTGAAGGGAAGTAAAAAAAAATGAGTTTGTTTCCATTTTGGAGTTTTTACACTAGCTATTTCTCTATCTAGAACTCTCTTACCACAAATCTTTGCATGGCTAGACCTTACTTATGATTCACATCTTTCTTCAGATGTTGCCTCTTCAGAGTACATCACATAGGTGTGTCCCTTCTTTGCCTTTATGCCATTCCACTATTCCTTTTGATTTTCTTAATATTATTTATGGTTCTATGAGTTATTTTGACTCTTTGTTTACTTGGAGATGATCTCCTCAGGAGAAGTTCTATTAAGAAGACTATTTTCCTCTGTTTTGCTACTGCTGAATTTCCAGTGCCTAAAACAGTATCTGGCAAATAGTTAACAATAAATAAACAAGAATGTTAATATGTTGATTCACAATTAGAAATATTTGTTATATGACCTGGACATATTGTGTCACTTGATTACTTTTTGCCATTGAAAATTATATGAAATATCAAATATTATAATCAGATGAGTCTCTCAATAGCAGATAGCTGAGTTTAGATTTTTAAACCTACACATAACAAACACACACACATACGCACACACATGCTCCCTCTGGTGGCTTTAAGTTACACATAGTAGCCAAGGCATGACAAGGGAGGAAAATAATTTCAAATTAAGGAAATTAATATTTATAACAACTAAAGAAACCTGAAAAGTAGTGTAACTTATTTCTTTGCTTTTGTCATTAAATGTGATACATTTAGTCAAGAAACATAGTTTTGCCAAGATAAAAATGAAAGGATAGAACAATTTTTTTAAATGAAATTTAGGAGGTGCCTGGGTGGCTCAGTCAGTTAGGCATCCAACTCTCAGTTTTTGCTCAGGTCATGATCTCAGGGTCATGAGATTGAGCCCTTCATCGGGTCCCATGCTCAGCATGGAATCTGCTTGAGATTCTCTCTCTCTCCCTCTGCCCCTCCCCACCTTGCACTCTCCCTCTCTAAATAAATAAATAAATAAATCTTAAAAAAATAAAATAAAATGAAATTTAGGAATTGTTTCCATGGAAGTAATCTAACAGCATATAAGTAGTGATAATGGTGAGTTTTATTTTTAAATAAAAATTCCTCTTATTTGTGAGAATGCCTAAGGACGCACACACAACATACATATAACTATTCACAAATGGCACTGAAACATTATACCTTATCTGGACATTCTCTAAGACAAAAGATCCCTTGAATTATAAATATAAATTAAAACCAGAGCTACATTGGGCGCCTGGGTGGCTCAGTTGGTTAAGCGACTGCCTTCGGCTCAGGTCATGATCCTGGAGTCCCGGGATCGAGTCCCGCATCAGGCTCCCTGCTTGGCAGGGGGTCTGCTTCTCCCTCTGACCCTCCTCCCTCTCATGCTCTCTGTCTCTCATTCTCTCTGTCTCAAATAAATAAATAAAATCTTTAAAAAAAAAAAAAACAGAGCTACATTAAAGCATTATTAATAAGAGACATTAGATTAGGAAAGTCAAGAAAAGACTAAGGGGTTATTTCAGACTAGAGAGACATTATAACTAAAAGCAGTAATTCTGAATTGTTTCTTTAGCTATAAAAAAATTATTGGTACAACTGGTCCACTTGCATGGAGCCTGAGGATTATATGGTAGCCATGTAGCAATGTAAATTTCCTAATTTGGATGGTTGTATTTTGATTTGGTTGGAGAATGTTCTTGTCTGTAGGAAACATACACTGAAATACTTGGAAATGTTGAGGCTCCAGGATTGCAATTTATTCTCAAGTGGTTCAGAAAAGTTATTGGTGCAGTACTTTGAAACTTTTTATAATTTTATGATTGTTTTAATATAAAATTTATTTTAAAAAGCTGCTTTAAAATAGAAAAACTTTGCAAATAAAAAGAAACACTATCACCATGGAGAAAATGATCAGCTTCATTTTTTAAATACATGTATATATTGAGGACAAGGGGAGAGTTTCATTTATGTACTAAAATGATTCTATAAAAATGAACATTTTACGGATAAAGGTTCTCCATATATGATGATATATATGTAAGGCAGATTTATTATTTTCCAACCTAAATGGTAATAAATATGCTATATTTGTAATTATCACTCAGATTTTTATTCATTTGCAAATACATGTTTTCAGTTTTCATGTAAGTTCATTTTTCTTTTTAAGTAAGATTACTTTATAGGCAGATTACAAAAATATAATGTACTTGTCATGATTTCTCTTTTAAAACCTCTCTTCCTTTGTTATCTATTTTACTACCAGTTATCACTGTCAGAATAATGAAGAAAAAGTCATAAAATAATATGCTTTCTGAA